AGATCTGTGAATCTCTCCACGAGCTTGGTAGATCGCGTCTGAAACGGAGTTATTCTGTCGGAGAGTGGTTTCGTCACGAGGCGAACTGGCTCGGGCTCCGAAACAGCTTCCAGGATTTTCTTTTGAAGTCTAAAATTAAAGTATGCCATTAACAGTGGGCAAAAATAATAATAATAACCTCCATAAAGCAAGTGCCCAACACGTTCGCGTTGTTTCTATCGTTGTTTCATATTCACTGCGTTTAGTTTTTTTAATCTCTGTTAATTCTGAAGACACGACAATCTTTTTTGAGTGTATAGTCAATAGAAATACGAAAGAAGTGTGTAAAGATTTTGTCTCACAGTTTTTTTTATGTGAAGAGAAAATTGAAGATAGATTGTCCGAGTTTCAGGCTGACGCACCAAGCACTGACTAATTAGGGCTATACTGTTAGAGCTGATCTTATTTCTGACTGGCGTCAAAGGATTTATATATTTTTTGCCTCATTTGTCGACGAGGATCGATCTGTCAGCGGTTAATAAAGATCGGCATGTACTTTAAAAAGATCTGAAATAAGTGGGAGGGGGGACAAGGGGGTCCAAACCCCCGCCTCCCGAAACCTCCTCCATTTCCAGCTCCCGCCCCTTATTTCTTTTGGCTTCCTCCCTTTAGGTCCTTTCCGTCTTGTGGCGCCATTTTCCCTTTGTTTCTTCCACTTCCCACTTTATTAGAACTCCCACTTCTCGCCATTTCTCCAGAGCTCCTACCCCGTCCTTCCTTCCCAACGAAATACTTGCCTTACGTGTAGCTCAGAGTTCTGTCTCTTCAGTTCAATAGTTTCTTTAGTTAGCTCTTTTATCTGGCATTCTCTGGCCACTAGTTCGTTCTTCGCATGACTTAACCTTAAATTTAACGACACCAAATCGGATTAACGTTTTTTCTACAGCGACTTTGAAATTACTCATAGATCTTCAAAAACCTACAAAGGAAGATTTCACCTTTCGCAGCATATACACCATTTTCTTACGACGAAAATTTTGGAAAAGACGCTTTCACCTATCACTCGTGTCAATACAAAAACTCCAACACTTCTCTTAACGTATTAAACGATGATTTTGTTTCGAAATCGAGGTTTCACGCATTAATTACCCTCTCTACCCTCTCCGACACACTCTGCAGCTGTCATGTGACAAAGAGCGCTTACCCCACTAGTTGCTAGGCAACTTAAAATTAACTTCAACAAAAGCAGCGTATCACTTTTAAGAGCATCCTTATACCTGTCCGGCTCAGGGATTCATTGTTTGTCCGTCTAGATAATTATTTACTTTATCAGGCTTATCATACACTTGTCATTACTAACTCTTTTCCCATTTCGTCAATTTCTCGATAGTTTCCTCTTTGATTTTCCTTCAACTGCTTTCGCAGAGCTCGAATTTCGTCTTCTGCATCTGCTAGCCTAGAATTTGATAAACAGAAAATATAAAGTTGAATATTTAGTCATGAAATGTATATTGACAACGTCCCTGTTGAAAGCATCTTTTTGCATTTATATATATATATATATACTGAATTTCTAATTTTAATTTACAAATTATGATAAGTGCTTTTCCACTGCTTTTCAAACTTTCAGCCTGCATATACTAAGGCAAAAATTATAGTAAAAAGAAACATTTATTACCGGTTGTCGTAAATTAATATGAATGGAGACAGTGGCAAAACTTTGTAGTATAGAAAATAATAAATCGCATTATTTACAATGTTTGTATAGTTTTCGTTGATTTAACTTGCAGAAAACCCGAATCATTTTACTGAAAGGACTTACTTAATTTTAAGCTCCGCTTCTTCAACTTTAGAGACTCTCAGTTCCTCCTCCATTTCCTTTACGATAAGCTCGTATTTTCCTTTCACTGTTTCTACATCTTCAACGTTGACTCTTGAAGTAAGAAACCCACTACGAAGCCAAGGTAGAAGTCTTTTTTTCAACGCTTCGGTTCCTCCATAAATTCCCCCTTCAGAACAACACAATTCCAGAAGGTGAAACAGCTGCCCTTGAAGCTTAGCATGCAGTTCGATGAGTTCACAACAAAACGCTGTGTTTTCTTCGCAGCTATTTCGGTAACTCGACTCAAAAAAGGTTGCTAAATATTCGTGTAAGGATTTGAACTCCCCAGATGCAACAATGCGGCTAAGTAAACCGATAAAAGTCGTGCTTGTCATCGTAAACAAACCCGAATGATCTACCTCGCTAGAAAAATGCCCTGTGAGCGACCCTTACTCGCAGATTTTGTTACCACGAATCACGCATTCCATTTAGAGGTGAAAATGTCCGTCTCCTTAAGCCGGCAAAGCTGTGAATGACACCTTCATTCAAAGCCGAGGCATTAATTACTGACGTTTTCCACTTAAATCAGTAATTACTTGCTTCTATTCTCAAGCATCAATTTTATAAGCTTTGTGGTTTTAATTAATTTTTCGAGGTTTCGGGCATCAATTATTTGCACATGGTACTGTGAATAAGCCAGGAGTTTAAATGACAAAATGCATTTCACCTGTTCGCGAGTTCGCTGGACGCGTGGACAGTTAACATATTGTAAACATGAAGGTAGTATTTTAAAGCATCTTTAAGCCGTCATAACCAAATACCACCTGCCGCCCATTAGGTCCCATTACAGGGGCACCCAACAACCCGGCGAATGTTTCCAAATTCGTTAGAGGTGTCTCAAATGGTTTTCTCTATGCTTCAGAAGTCCGTTTTGGCTCATTTAATCTGCCCTAGACTTTCGGTTGTCTTAGGGGAACTTTGGTCGTCCCGAAAGTTTTGGGTGCTAGCCTTTGTCTCATCCGAAACTGCTGGCTTTCCTGATCACTGCTAAAGGGTCCTGTCGTAAATAAAGGGCATGAGTAGCCGTACTTTCATAAGAAAATTCTAGGGGACGTTTTGGCTCTATACCGAAATTTTCAGGAGAGCTCTGTTAACAATAATCGCAACATCTTGGTCTAAAAACAGCAAAAACACAACCTCCGAAAATCGTACGTAAGTTAGTACAAAAACTCCGAATATCGGTTGTCGTTGGGTGCCCCCGCCATTACGTTCCGATGTAATTCAATAAAATATTTTTGCGGGCTGAGCAAATTCGAGAATGTGTTATTATTGATATTCATATACAATTGATGTTTGGTGTGAGTTTTTAAATATAGCGGCAAAAGAAACAAAATCTGTAAATGAACTGTTCGTCACTATGTTCCTCGTACCCAGAGTCTTCGGGCTTTTTGGTCAGCTGAGCGACGCCCACGTTTTCTGTAAACAAATTCCAGTTTCCCAGAGTCTTTCCTGGCCTCGCTGGCCTGATCAAAAAGCCAGAAGAATGTGGAGAGGAGATTGTTTTGTGTTACGAAATGAACACAGGACAACCAACCAAATGACTGGCTCAGTAGGGGTGAAAAAGAATAAAAAACGAAAACTTTAACACTGCCATATCCCTCCCAGATTTTGTTCTCTTTCCACTGCTGATGATCAAAAACTCCCAACATTGTTGGCCCAACATGTTGGGAGTTGTTGCGTGCGTTTGCATGTCGATAAACGTTTGACCGGTTTCAAACTTTGTGCGACAACTTCCAACAACAGGGTGGGTGTGCAAACGGACACAACATGTGATATCCAACAATGTTGGGAGTTGTTGGCCAACAATGTGGCGTCGCGTCCGTTTGCATGGGGCTTTAGTAAAAGGGGCAAGACCAACCTCGTTCCCAGGGTTCTCTCTCTGGACGGGTAGAAAAGAACCCTGGGGTTAGGGTAAGGCGTAGACTGTACATTCGCCACTTTTGAAACGAAAAGAGATCTGGAGCCGAAATGTGTCCCACAATTGTGTCTAGGATCGTTACAGGGGATATTGGCCATTTTTTAATTACTCCCTGATAACAGTCCCAGAAGTCATTGCGAAAGTTTACTCGGCCCAGTCTCCCTCTCGTTTTTAAAGTAATGAATGTAGCTGCCACATGCTACGAAATAAAACTTGAAAACCAAACTACTCTTGGAAGAGAAAATATCGTTTTTATTATAAGAATATGTTCTGCATTTACCTCAGTCAACAAGTTGAATTTTTGTTGCCCGTCAACAACTTAACTTTTTGGTAACAAACGTCATAACTATGAGCTCACAAACGGGGGTTCTTGATAATTTCCTTTTAAAACGTCCCTTATACGTAGTTCGTCACACAATCCTTTTGTCACACACTCTTTCAGGGGGCGATAGAGCGTAATGTCTGATTTCTGAGAAGGACTGGTCTAATGAAGCTCTACCCTTCTCTACTTGCATTGCCAACATTCGCTACTTGACTGGACTACAACCGTTTTGTGACAATGTACAATTTTGTCTGTAGAGTAGTTTATCGGAATTAAAATATATCAAAACGGTTAGCTTTTGTGGATATCAAACAGTTTAGCGAGCTCATTAAGATCGTCTTGGTCTCTTCCCTCCTTGATAATCTGCAAAGCAAGAAAGAACGAACAAAAGTCAAATAATAAACGGTTAACAAATCAGTGTCCAAATAAATATTTTTTTAAAATGCGCATCAGACTCTCTTCTGGCTTTTGATTCAGGGCGGTGACACTTTGAAGAGAAAAATAGCGAAAAGAACAATGCGGATTAATTTAGGTTTCTGGGAAACTGCCCACCCTTCCCCTAAGCCATCATTTTGCCCTAAGTGAGAAGTAAGTGTTAATGTTAGCTTAGGGGAGGGGAAGGTGGGCACTTTCCCAGAAACCTTAACCCTTTCACTGCCAAATGTGGCCAAAGGAAAATGTCGACCAAATTTCCAAATTTCATGTTCTAAAATTTTGACAAACAAATAGCTTCACGTGAAAGTACAGGCAGAGAGGTTTCATTTGAATGGTCACATCATAGGATTTCGACTGCAGACTCAAAAGTTAGACTCGCCTTACAAAACTCCATCAAACACCCTGGCAGTGAAGGGGTGATTGATCCAACAATGAATTAGCACCTAAATAACACTAACCTTTCTGGCCAGGGGCATTCTGTTGAAGACGTTCCATAATACAACTCCCACGACTCGCTTGCCTCTCATGTAAAATACAACACCTTTACCAAACTCCTCTGACGACGCGGTAGGAACTGGGGCCGCTGGCTGGGTGAGCGCCACAGGGGAGGGCTCAGATCCCTGGTTGAAAAAATGTTTTAGCACTTTAAGTCAGTGATAAAGATCCAAGAAAAACGAAGAAGCGACCGCGACCACCTTCGGGTTTACCCAACTGGACTTTTCTTTTGTTTTTAAGCTCTCGTAAGCGACCACTCAGCCTCCACTCTTAGTGTTATTCATATAAATCAACATTTTAATGAAAATGCACTGCGCTAATGGTCTAAAAACAAACTGGACGTAAGACTTAGCCTGGTCTATATCAGATATAAAGACACTTATTAAAAATTACTTTCTTTCGTTTTTTCTTCATGAATTGTCAATGAGTTTCTGACTGAAGCTCTCGTAAGCGACCTTGTGAGAGCCCCCTGTGGCGTTTTAGTTGACCAATTCAAAAAAGGTACAAAGTTTTTCCACCGACTCACCTCACCCTCTGTTTCTGAGCGGACGCCTTCACCTGTAGCTTCTACTACTGCTTTAGGCGTGTCAGCTTCGGTTGCTTTGGCCCAGACTCCTACCGTCGGTAGCACAGAATCTACCAATCCAATAGCTTCGTAACCAACATCAGGCCCTAGATCACTCCTATTAAAACAACATAAAATTTTGTTGGGTATTTCTTTCACGCAAACCACAAGATTATCGTTCCAGACTATCGTGCCTGCTATCTTAGTTGGTAGCCTCGCGATCATTCGTTGATTTTCTCGGTAAAGTCACAGGCACAAGGAAAAAACTCGTTCTCGAGAATTTACAAATATAACCGGCCTGGACTTTAACCCGGCCGAAACTTCTATTACTTTATAAGGCCGCTAGGCCGTCATAGCACTAGAACTGACCAAAACATGGATTGGTGCCAGTAAGGTTTGCCTGCGCCTGTCATGTTTTCTCCTGCCAGTCTTCCGCTGACCACAGCATGATCATGGTGTTCCACTCGGCGCCTTCCGAGGTTTGGATCATAAAAGCAAGCCGCATCCCCGGCCTAAAATCATCACAAAAAACTATTAACGCAAAATGTATTCTTGGGTTGCACGTGACGTCACCAAAAATCAAACTAAGAAACTATCGATTCTTCTGAGTTTCTACTTTCACGAGGTATTACAGCACCTAAACACCTTTACATAAAAAAAAATTTGGTTCGAAAGGGTTTTACGTTTTTCGAGAGAGGACGCTTGAATTTCCAGGCTTTTGCGTGACGCGGCATTTAGCTGGCGGCCGGGAAAGCTCTTACGTGGGTTAAAAACATTATCGATTTTGGGAGATTTTGCAATCTAAACATTCCTTGTCTCAGAATAAATATTACTGTAATCTTTAGGAGTTCCTCAAGCGAAGAATTCACGCATTAGTAGGAAAACTCGAAAACAGATGTTTCTGTTGGTATCCGGCGGCCATATTGGTGTTCCTGAAAGGGACACCAACATGGCGTTTCCCTACAAAGCTTTATAAATTTAGGTAAACCGTTTTTCCCAATATCTCGCATTTGAAATATTTCACAGACCTGATTCTTGGCAAGGGTTTTTGTATATTTATCTTTTTTTATTTCCCAGATTCTAGTCCTTCTACATTGAATGGTTTGCATTTTTATTTTTCATTAGGTGACAGTGCAAGCCAAGAATAAAGTCTGGCATATGAGGTGAAATTTCAGGAAGAACTAAATTGAGTAATATATAGCAGTCAGCAAAACAACTACTAGGCATTTAGCCAGTCTCTGTCCAATGGCAGTCATCTTTTGCCTTCTTACCACCCAAATATTAGACTTGGCTTGTAGTTCAGAGTTGACATGGAAACCTCCAAGAATTGGGTCCACTTCGAGACCAGCAACATTGGCGAGCTCAACATTTGGTTCCAGGCCTACTGCAACAATCACTCGGTCTGCTTGGAGCTGCAAGATAAACATTTGCTAAGATACAATGACAGTGTTGCTACAAACCTGTAAAAATAAACTTCTACTGAAGTCAACTCTTCTTAAAAGGACCTTTATGAGATGGGTTTTACCCTGGTTTCCAGAGAGCCCAGTAAATAGATTCAACAAACGTAAGATCTCAGGAAGTAGCCTGTGTACAGCCGCCC